AGCAATAAATACATCTCAAAGGGATAGAGTAGCTTAGGCTATTTCTACCCCCGTCTACTTCAAGTCCCTCAAGGGGCGCACAAATGCTGTGAGTACAAATAGACAAATTACAATACAAGAATCCCATTTAACATTGCATCCTGGTACAAGGGGTGACTTAGCTCTGGAATGATTTTTGTTGCCCGGTGGTGCACTTTCTCCAGAGCAGCTGTGTCTTTGTTCACCTTGTTACGTATAAATATTTAGAGTCGACGTTTTCCGCATGTTTTGTTCATCTTACTGTGTCGTTTTGTTCACAATGTTATTTCGTTTATTTTATTCAACTTAGTATGTATGGGGTTTTGTTCATCTTGTTCAGTATGTTATTTTTTCACCTTATTCTGTATGCGGTTTTGTTCACATTGTTCAACATGTTTTGTTCACCTTCTTGTGTCAGTAGTTTTGTTCATATCGTTCTTCATTTGATTTCCTTTACCTTAGTCTATATGGAATTTTGTTCATCTTGTTCAGTACGTTATTTTTTCATATTATGCTGTATGTGGTTTGGTTCATCTTGTTCAAAATGTTATTTTTTTCCAACCATGTTCTATATGTACTTTTGTTCAACTTGTTCAGTGTGTTATTCGACAGGTTATGAGTTAAACTCGTTCCTCAAACTTATTTTCCACTAAAATCTGTCCGGAATGTTCTCCAGTTTGTGTTAAGCATGTGTTCGAAGTTTGGAAATTTGTTAAAAGTTCGACAAACATATTCGGGAACTTTTTTAATACTGAACAGTATGTTAATGACGCTTAGAGGAGGAAAATAAATTATAGATACGACCTGTTAATTTTGCTCCATTACGACCTGTTACTTTGTCCCATTACCACCTGTTACTTTGTTCCATTACGACCTGTTACTTTGTCCCATTACGACCTGTTACTTTGTTCCATTATGACCTGTTATTTTGTCCCATTACGACCTGTTACTTTGTCCCATTACCACCTGTTACTTTGTCCCATTACCACCTGTCACTTTGTCCCATTACGACCTGTTACTTTGTCCCATTACGACCTGTTACTTTGTCCCATTACGACCTGTTACTTTGTCCCATTACGACCTGTCACTTTGTCCCATTACGACCTGTCACTTTGTCCCATTACGACCTGTTACTTTGTCCCATTACGACCTGTTACTTTGTCCCATTACGACCTGTTACTTTGTCCCATTACGACCTGTTACTTTGTCCCATTACGACCTGTTACTTTGTCCCATTACGACCTGTCACTTTGTCCCATTACGACCTGTTACTTTGTCCCATTACGACCTGTTACTTTGTCCCATTACGACCTGTTACTTTGTCCCATTACGACCTGTTACTTTGTCCCATTACGACCTGTTACTTTGTCCCATTACGACCTGTTACTTTGTCCCATTACGACCTGTTACTTTGTCCCATTACGACCTGTTACTTTGTCCCATTACGACCTGTTACTTTGTCCCATTACGACCTGTTACTTTGTCCCATTACGACCTGTTTACTCACACTATAAACAACTCCCCCCTCCCCCCTATAGTGGTTGTTTATAGCATCCTATACCATCATATTTTATTACCTTATTAAATAAATATTATTTACGTTATTAAATCAATATATAATACTTTAATATATAAATACTTATATTTTGATAAATAGGTATACTGTACTATATACTATACTTTATACTGTACTGTACTTTATACTATACTTTATTGTGTACTCTTATTATATTATTATTGTATACTGAATACTATACTGTACTTCATTCAGGTCCCTATTGTACTTACCTAACCTAATTGCACTTACCTATTTGTGCTTGCAGGGGTTGAGTTTTGGCTCTTTGGTCCCGCCTCTCAACTGTCAATCAACTGGTGTACAGATTCCTGAGCCTACTGGGCTCTATCCATGCCCTACTGGGCATGTGATCAGATTCAGATGTTTATTCAGGTAAGGTATATACATATAAGTGATGTTACATTAATGGATTGATATATAGATAGAGCTAGTACATACAATGCCTAAAGCCACTATTACGCAATGCGTTTCGGGCAAGAAAAACATTAATATCTAGAACTTAATACTAATTGAGCATAAAGAATAAAAGATGTTGAGAACAAATACAAATAAAGATAAAAAAAAAAAAGGGGGAACATGACTGAAAAAGCAGCACAAATACAATAGGTTGACAAACAGTGTTGATTACAAAAAAGAAAAAAAAAAGAAAATAACAGACATGGGTTGACAATAGAGGAGTGAGGTAGATTACAGGGAATTTATTAGGTAGTGTTTAGTTTTTATCTTAAACTGGTTGAGAGAGGGACAGTCTTTAACATGGTTGGGAAGGTCATTCCACATTCTGGGCCCCTTGATTTGCAGAGCATTTCTAGTTTGATTAAGACGTACTCTAGGAATATCAAAACTGTATTTATTTCTGGTGTGGTGCTCATGGGTTCTGTTACAACCTTCTATGAAGCTTTTAAGATCAGGATTGGCATTATAGTTTAGCGTTTTATATATGTATAATACACATGAGAGAATGTGCAGTGACTTAATATCTAACATATTAAGAGATTTGAGTAGGGGTACCGAGTGATGTCTGGGGCCAGAGTTGGATATTGTTCTAATAGCGGCTTTGTGTTGGGTAATTAGAGGACGTAAGTGATTTTGGGTAGTAGAACCCCAAGCACAAATACCATAGTTGAGATAAGGATAGATAAGGGAGTAATAGAGAGTCACCAGAGCAGGGCGTGGTACATAATATCTGATCTTAGAAAGAATGCCCACAGTTTTTGAAACTTTTTTTGATATATTTAGAATGTGTCCCTGGAAATTCAGCTTGTTGTCAATGAGAATGCCAAGGAATTTGCCATCTAATTTGTTACAAATTTGGGTATTGTTTATTTTGAGATTTATAAGACTAGAGGATTTATTGCCAAACAGAATATAGAAGGTTTTGTCAATGTTAAGGGTGAGTTTGTTGGCAGTTAGCCAATGATGGACTTTATTTAGCTCAGTATTTACTGTGGCATTTAGAGCAAGAGGGTCAGGACTGGAGTAAATGAAGGTTGTGTCGTCAGCAAATAGAATTGGTTTGAGGTGTTGGGAGGCATTTGGAAGGTCATTAATGTAGATGAGAAAGAGGAGAGGGCCAAGTATGCTGCCCTGAGGAACACCAATGTTGATGGGTAGGGTGGGAGAAATTGTATTATTCACAGAAACATATTGGAGCCTGTCAGTAAGGTAGGACTCGAGGTATTGTAGGGAGTGCCCTCTGACTCCATAATGATGTAATTTAAGAAGAAGGTTATGGTGGTTGACAGTATCAAAAGCTTTACGCAGGTCCACAAATAACCCAACAGGGAGCTCCTTTTTATCAAGGGCTGTATGAATCGAGTTAAGCATACTAATGAGTGCATCGTTAGTGCTTTTTTTGGGTCTGAAGCCATATTGGCAAGGGCTAAGTATATTGAGTTTGGCTAGATATGAGTAAAGCTGCTTGTATATAAGTTTTTCAAAAATTTTTGACAAGTTTGGCAGGATTGATATAGGTCTGTAGTTGTTAACATCTGTGGGATCACCACATTTGTGGACAGGCGTTACTCTCGCTTTTTTTAGAATATCTGGAAAGGTTTGGAGTTCAAGTGACTTGTTGAAGAGCAAAGCAATAGCAGGGGCTAAAGATCTGGAGGCTTTTTTGTATATTAAAGTTGGTATCTCCTCAAGGGCACTAGACTTGGTTTTAAGGGAAAGGATTATCTCATTGACGTCAGTGGAATTAATAGGCTTTAGGTACAGAGACTGTGGATAGTTACCTGTAAGATAGTCCTTAATGTCAGTACTGGAAGATGGAATATCATTTGCAAGGGATGAACCAATGGAAGAGAAGAACCTATTGAACTCAATAGCAGAATCAGAGGCTGAAAGCTGACCATCGTTATTAGACAGGAGAGTCGGTTTGTTATTTAAGGATTTCTTTGATCCCAATATTTGTGAAATTGTGCTCCAAGTTTGTTTAATGTTGCTCTTTATTTGAGTAAATTTATCTTCGTAGTAATTAGTTTTGGCTCGTCTAATTATCTTAGTTAGCAATAATGAGTAATTCTTTGAGAATTCTTTGGAGACAATTCCTAACCTATACTTCTTCTCAAGGTCGTGTTTTTTGTTAATGGATTTCAGTATTCCCTTTGTAAGCCAAGGATTGTTAAGCCTTTTGCTTGTGACTTGTTTTGTAAGCCTAGGACAGTGGGTGTTATAAAGGCTAAGAGTTGTTTGTAGAAAAGATTGCACTGCTAGGTTGATGTCCCCTATGTTACCTAACTCGTGGGTTGCATGCTGAGGAAAGCCAGGATTTGGGCTTGGAGAATTCGATAAGCCTGGCAGGCTTCCTATCCTCGGCAGTGAAACACCACTATTAGGCACATCTGCATTTTTTTCGGCTATTTTAAGGTATAAAAATGAGAAAATTTGGAGATTTAAACTCACCGGGGAAATTTACCGTTACTTGTAAGCGAGGTAAACACAGTTTATCTGTAAAATATTGAAATACAATTCTTTGCGCTAAATGATATTTAAGACAGTTTACAATTTAAAACTAAGATTGAAATATTTATATAAGTTGCAACATATACAAATAAAGAAATATTAAAATGTTTCCAATCTGTTTTTGCGTGACGCAATATGTGTAAGAGCAATAAGTGTATATCTAAACACCTCCAATACCAAGAGTAATGTTACGGATAATTCAGTTTACAGTGTTTTTATTGTGTCACATATGGTATATTTACATGTTTTAATGGCAATTAAACGAAATGGCAATGGTATATGGTATGTTTTAATGGCAATCTGCCCGAAACGCTGCGCGTGCTAGTGGCTTTACAAGAGTGTAATTACTGTACTATGCTATGTATTCTCTCACAAACCCAATGTACCTTCTTGTATATAAATAAATAAAATAAATAAATAAATTGGAGGCTGTGTTTACGTGGTTGCGGGCGAGGCCAGGCAGTTGTCTGGCTGCTAACGTCAAGAAAGGGCCGTCTCCCTCACCCGCTTCCTCTCATGCACTCATGATTCCATGTTTCCGGCCCCTACCATGTCTTCGAACCATAGATAGCAGTAACAGGTATATAATTTGCCTTAGAGTTAGCTTAATATTCAGCCCGCAGAGGGAAGGTGGTAAACAAAAATAAGAGTGAGTTGGAGAAAGTCCACGTCCACAGTTTGGATCAGCTGTTGAGGTGACCAACACTAGTTTTTGTCTCTTAAGACGCGTACTGGTGGCGTCTTAAGTCAATGAGGTGTGTGTGTGTTAGTCGTTAAGCGGTGGAGGATTGTTAAAGTGTTGGGGGGTAGTTAGGGGCGAACAAGCGCAGCTGTGGTCATGGTTTAGGGAAAATTATTGCATGATGGTGTTCGGGGGGGGGGGGGGGGTTCGTACACGGTCTGTATGTAGAGTGTTGGCACACACTCGTATGTAGAATTTGGTATATTATAATTATTGATATAGTATAAGAAATTATATCTACTATGTATATCTTATATGGTAGAAAAAGTCAAATAACAAGGGAAGCCTTATCTACCCCTAAGGGTTGCGATTTGACTGTATTCCGCACTTTTTTGGAAAGCGGACAGTGTTGGAAAATAGGTTCGATTAAATCGTACACTGACGTTTCCACAAAGGTAATTTTGTAATTGTCGAACTATATTTTTTTTTTTTAGCTATGTTGGGTTGGGTGAGGTTACAATTTAAAATTCATTGGAAAATGTGCAGGGCATTCTTAGGGCCTATTGTCTTGAGTATAAACATCAACCCTAACCTAAGAATTGTGGCAATATTGGTAACGGGTGTATGAGGCACCGCACTGTTTGGATACACGTCTATTGGGGTGTGCAAACTTTGTACATGGTATAGTGTAGATTATGACGGCATAACCATCACCTCACGAGCAAGGCTCTAATGATTATTTTATAATGACGTTCACTATCTGCCAAGATATGACAGTACTCCAATTCAGAGTTCAAATTAAAAAAAAATCCTCAGTAATAATGAGGAATTGGGGGGAGGGGAGATTTGCTAAACTGTTAGCTTCTCATCCTCTTTGAGGCCATTAGGGAGAGGTGAAGTCAAATCATACACAAGTGATGCTTTCATTGCTCTGTATCCACCATATTCAAATAATTTTCAAATTGTTTTTCTTTTTTAAAACTGCAGAACCAATTCAACTCGGTGGGACAATATTAGTTTAGTGAAGGGCTCTAAGGTGATGACCAACTAACACAGTCTGGTGCATGTGTATGAAATGGTGGGCATAGAGCACTGGATGAGGTGCATACCACTGTCAGTTAGGTTAACCACAATTGGGTCTCGCTAGTAATTGAGTAGGAAACTGCCTCACCTTAAAACTGCCAGTGTGCAAAATGTAAGTACTGTATTGTACAGTACTCCAAGTGTTGTGTTATTCCGCCGGAGTTAGGTATAATAACCTAAATTTAAACAGTTATGCTTGTGAAGAACCCTGTATAGGCATTTTATTCAATGTTAGAATCCTGCATTTGACTTTTCCTACTTTTACAGATATCCTCTTGATGTCACATGACCACCTCCGGTAGTCAGACAAAACTGTGTGAATTATATCTGTAGCATCAGCCATGAATAGATCCCTTAATAATTAACTATTTTTGGATGTTCTAGCATTGAGAATGAAAATGTCACACCAGTTCACTGTTCATAGCTAATGCAATTGAAATTATTCAAACACCTCATTTTGAGAAGCTTATTATTACTGTAGACTGATTCTGTGTAATAAATATTTGCAATTTTATTTGTATATAAATTTGATATTTAGTTATATCAACCAATGCCTTAATTTTCTCAATTTGCATGTACAGTATAGTAATATGTTTAAAATATAATGTGCAGTATATGTAGAGACATTTATCGCCCGGTTGAACTAATAAATATTCTGTATAATAATTTTATAATTGTTACAAAAAATGGAAAATAACACAAATCATGTGTGTTTCTGAAAATTAGCAGTGGTCATTTCAAACAGATCTTTTGCAGTGGAAGTGGTATAGCACTAATTGATCTGTTGGAACAGAGTTGCTCAGTTTACCATATTGCCTATCCTCTATTTGTATCTTCTCTATGCAGGTATTTAGTCAATGGAAATCCACTTAGTCATCATAACTATTCATTGTAGACCTAGTCTATTGTAGACCTAATCTTTGCTATTTTCACTAAATTTTAGCTTCATTTCATTATAATTTTGAATGCTTGAACACTTTTTGGAATATACAGTACTGTACCTGCTGCTTACCTGCTTGATGGGGTTCTGAAAGTTGTTCTTCTCCCCAAGCCCGGCCTGAGGCCAGGCTCGACTTGTGAGAGTTTGGTCCACTAGGCTGTTGCTTGGAGCGGCCCGCAGGCCCACATACCCACCACAGCCCGGCTGATCCGAAACTTCTCTTAGGAAACAGTCCAGTTTTCTCTTGTAGTGCTGTATACAAAAATCACCTATAAATATGGTGTTTTTTTAATCCTTAAATTTATATTTTCTTGACAGAGTTTAAGAATGTGGAAAGGCTGGGCCGAGGGAGACCAAGGGGGGTCCCCTCCGGATCCCCCTGAAGAGCAAAGTGACACAGACCATGAAAATGTTGAATTTGTCAAGCAAGAGTTGGGGGATCTGAAGGTAGGAATTTAACAGTTGGCGTTTTCAGTTTTTAACGTTTTAAAAAATGCCTATTAAGTACAGTATGCATTTCTTATTAAGGTAATTCTTGTATATTTAGTCTTATGTATATAACAAAAATTTGATTTAGAAATGAAATTGTAAATGTCAAAATAATGCAGCCCATCCTCCTATTTTGGTAGTACAGAACTTAAAGTAAAGATGAGGACCATAGTGTATATATACCGACATGCAGTGAAATTAGAAAGTAGAAATCTGAACTGTTGAGTTGGACAAACCAGAAAACTATTTTTTACTTGTGTTTCTTTGACAAACTAACCTAACCTTCCTAAGTCTAATTCATGATATCTAAGGCCCAGTATAATACATGTGTGTGCTATATTAGCCCTAGAAATTTTTAAGTTTATTTTTTAGCTTTATTTATTTTAAAAGAATTCCTTGCTAGTCAGTATACTGCTATCTAAAAGCTAAGCACGTATGAATTCATGACTATTGACGACTGTCACAATAGATACTATCTAAACAGGAGGATGGGTTGATATAATGAGAGATATTAGATTCAGTGTTTTAATTCATGCTAAAGGGTAGTATGTATGTGATGTCTGTGTTCGGATTTTCATCGTTGGTGATGACACGAAGCCTTTTAGGCTACAAGAGATCCTTCTCGGCCAACTACTAACTTTCCCCAGAATGCAAACTTCAACAATTGCCTAACTCTTAAGTACATACTCTATCTACTGCTAGATGAAGAGTGGCATCAGGTGACAAAATGTCCCCAGACATCTGGCCTTCTGTGGGAATTGAACTTGGGTCCTTTGAGATCAAACTAGGCTTACCACTGCTTTTTTAATTATTGACTTAAATATATCATTGCATGCAATATGATTAAAATCAAGTTCTATGGTTTGTTGACCAGACCACACACTAGAAGGTGAAGGGATGACGACGTTTCTGTCCGTCCTGAACCATCCTCAAGTCGATTGTGATTCTCAATCACATTCTCAATCGACTTGAGGATGGTCCAGGACGGATTGAAACGTCGTCGTCCCTTCACCTTCTAGTGTGTGGTCTGGTCAACATACTTTAGCCACGTTATTGTGACTCATCGCCTGCAAGTTCTATGGTTTCTTTTCATTTTGAGTTGGTAAGGTTTTCATTCACTCAGGTATGGCCCTGCTACCTTTTAAAAATGAGTTTTGAGGCTGGTGACGAGAAATATTCCAGATGTGGTTAAAAAAAATTGCAGTCATGATCATTTAGTAGTTGTCTATTACATTATAAGTTGAAATGAAAATTTCCTCAAGTGAAAATTAGCCCATAGGGATGGGAAATGCAACCTGGAGGCATCTCCAGTTGCAACAAATCCTTCGCTACAACGAATTGGGGTTGATCCCTTATCAACTATAGAGGTTGTACTGTATGTTGGTTGTGGTACAATAAAAATTTGAATATGCTCTTTTTTTGAATATTTCCAGTAAGAATTCCTACTAATCTGGAAGTCTGGCTAACTCAGAGAAAAATGGGCCCCATATGATTCAAATTCTGAGCATCATCAGTACAGTATTTATTTCAGTGCATTGGTAACATTTATAGCCTAGGTGATTTGGCACCGGTGCCATTTATTTTTGTCTCGTCAGGCTGGGCCTCATCTGGGTTTTTCGGACACTTCCTTTTTCCCTGCATCCCTGCTCTGCTTGTTTCTTGCTGTCCTGTTAATGTGTTTTGCCACTTTATAGAGTACAGGAGCAGACATCTACTAACTCTTGGCAAGCTAAGAGCTCTCCCTCTTACAACTACAGTACTGTACTCGCTATAAAGCCTGTTGTGGTATCTAGCTAAAAAAAAAAAAAGATAGCAGTGAAAATTCAATATCAGATTCATTTTCCAAGTGCCAGTGGTATTTGGAATGAAGCATAATTGAAGGTTTTTCTGTTGGCAGGAACAATTTGACCAACAGCAAGCATTAATTGGACAACTCAAAGACATGATTAAGAAGAAAGAGTCAGCTGTGGACTCCCAGGGAAATGAAGTCGAGGTGAGCTCATGATTTAAAATTATTAAATTGTTTTGGTTTTATTATTTGCATAAAAACCCAATATAAATAATGTGTACAGTAGTTGAATGCTTTGACACTGATGGAAGTGGCCTGTGAGACAGATTAGGGCATTTAGGCTTCTCCCACCATATATCAGACTGAAGACATTAGTGTTTTTAGATAGGGTAAATTTAAGAAACATTCTTGAAATGGCATTCAAATGGACAGGGGTGGAAATATTTACAGCTACAGTAGATTGGGCTGCTTTTAATCCTTGGATGGCTTGGAGTATGGAAAAATGGTCATACTCGCCTATGCACAAAATTTTGTTTAAAAATCCAAAAATAATTGTTCACTATAGAATTGTTAATTAGTATTAATATATAAGAAACACACAAAATAAGTGAATACCAGTATTTACCTTTTTACTGGGTGGAGGCATTCTGAAAGGTTGCGTGGTGGCTACGTCATCTGGCATCTGTTAATACGATGCCAATTTTGCTGACACGGAGGTGTGCGAGATACGACCCCTGTGTTCTCCTCGGAGGTTTCATTGATTGTTTATCACTTATTTCTTTTTATTTACAAGAACTTGTTAAATCACATAATGCATGATAATGTTTCAGTTGATGATTGGTTTACCTGGTATACAGTACCTCATTATAATCATATCGAGTTGTGAAAACCATATGAACATCATTGTTAAGCGTATCATGTTATTATTACTGAATTTTATACAATGACGACAAATGCATTCACCGAGTAATGTAACCATGAAATGATAGCAGGAATTTTGTTTGTGGGTCAAGGTAAACGCCTTTACATCCACTAAGAGCTAATATGTCCTTATTTGCATCATACTGTACATGTAAAACCCAAACCATATTTTTTTAAATCATCGTATTCAATTTCTTCAATTTCTTTCTTTATTATGCATCCCATACCCATCCTATGGTGGGTGGTGGAAAAGGTTACAGAGGCACATAATCAGTTCAGGAACTGAACCCCCATAGTTCGTTTAGCTAAGCAAGTGACAATCTTTTGAAGCGAGTTACACAATTGTTAATGTTACATACACATATACATATATATATATACCATAATATGATAACCACATTTACCTCGTGAATAAACATACAACAGTAACCTATATCTAAGAGTTAAGATTAATCTGGGTTTAAAGTTCTAGGGGATAATGTTCTGTTTAGTAATGATGCAAGAAAGAATGCTTGAAACCTGTCACAGAGTACCTGAGCTGGAATAATACATTGTATTGAAAAATGTTTAACGTTCAAATATGAAAATTTCAAGGTTTTTTAAGAAGTATTCCCAAGATGACATTTTGAATAAATTACAACATTACGTTCCATATGACCTAAGCTACATTGTAAAGGTATTCGGTACTGTATAAAGTAGCACGAGTATTGGGAGTTACAAGCAAGATTAAAGAAACTAGCAAAATCAGGTGAGCCAAATATGTTAATGAAATTAATAAGGAAAACGGTGTTGAGGAGCAGGGTACAGGCTGTAATAGCTTGAGGCAGAGAGAAACAAGTTTTCCTTAAGACAGTTGGAAATCTTAGACAAATATTAAGACACTGCCCAAGTAATACTGACATGAATAACACATAGCTGGCCAGTAAAGGTCAGGGCCTGTGGAGAATGTCCCTGGTTGGGGGGGGGGGGGGGGAATTAAATTAATTAAAACTCAGTTTTCTTCATTAAATTATTTGAATATTAAAGGCTGTGTATAAAATAGCCACACCGACCTTCCGATGGTAGCAGGTTGGTGTGATGTTGATGTTTCTGGTTTTTGTTGCTGCTGGAGTTGTTGTATGGTATACCATTGTTATCAATCATGAGGTACCATACTGTACCATATTTGTTTAAGCATACTGTGTTTTATTATTAATTAATATTTTGTTGTTACTAAACAGAGATAGTGTTAACCTGTAGTTCTAATAATTGACTATAATGGACAGTAAAAGCAAAATCATTCTAATTTTTTCTTTTAATAGGATTATGCTGCTAGATTGGCCAAGATAAAACCACGCTTAGGAAGAATTGGTGCCAAGAGAAAGTCGGTGCTTCCAGAAAGAGTAGAGCCACTGGGGTCTTCAGAGGACACACTATCGGGAAATGAACCCACCGTAATCAGTGGTGGAGTTAGAGTTCGTGATGCTGTTGAGGAGAAGTTGGTAGAGGAGAAGAAGTTACCCTCATCTGAAAGTGGCAGTAGGGCCAAAATATTACTACTAAGAAAGCAGCTGGAAGAAAATCGACACAAATTTGAACATCAGCAGAAGGAAAATGCTGAGAAGCGTGCGTCAATGGAAGACATGAAATCAAGAATCGAACGACTACGAGCCGAAGTTGAAGAGCGAGATACTTTAATTCATTCATTGCAGGAGGATAGAGGAGCTGCATTTAAGGACTCAATAACTCAAAAACTTTATCAACAAATAATTTACAAAGACAATACAATTTTAGAATTGACTCAAAAAAATAATCAGTTAGAAGAAATTATTCAAGAGCAACGAGAAACTTTAAGTGAGAAAGATAAAGTGATAGAGGCACGGACTGAAGCAGTTTCTCTTGTTGCAAAGGCTCAAGATGAAAAGAGCATCAAAACCTTAGAAGAGTTAGATGAAGTTAGATATCAAATGAAAAAAATGCAGGAAGATTTTATTGCGAAAGAACAGGAATTTTTGTCCGAGAAAGATTCGTTGACCAAAGAACTAAAAGAAAAGGCTAAAAAGGTTACACAACTAGAAGACAATGGTCGTCGCCTTGAAAATCTTCGTTTTGAGCTTAGTACTCGTAATGCTGAACTGCAAGAGAAAATTGTGACACTGCAAGCCGACACTAAAACATTAAGAAACCAATCCGAATTGGATAGAAAAGAAGCTGAAGAAAGAGATTCTCTTTTACAGGAACTCAAACAAAAACTTGTTAAAGCTGAGGCTCATGGCCAAAAAAAATTAAAGGCACTTGAAAAACAATTTAGAAGTATAAAAGATGATGGTAATGCAGGAGAACAAATTTTGCTGTTACAAAATTCTATTGCAGAATTGGAAGAGGAGAAAGGAAACTTGCAACTAAAGTTAGTTGACTTTGATGACCTGAAACTTGCCAATGAAAAATTGACACTTTGTAGAAATAAAATGGAGGATCAAATAAAACAGCTTAATAATGATTTAGATTCTCAGTTAAGTGCCATTACCCTTCTTGAAACTGAGAAAATCAAACTGGTTGAGGGCACCAATGAACGTGAAAACCGAATATTTGATCTGGAATCTGAGTTAACTAGCCTGAAAGCAAGACTCGCAGAAATCACTCAAGCAAAAGTCACAGTCGAGCTAAGGCTTTGTGAGGTAGAAGAGCAGAGAGATGTTGCAGAGAAGGCAAGACAGGAGCTGGAAAATCAGCTGTTTGAATCTAAGCAAGTGCCTGTCGAGCAACTAATGGCAGAGAAAGGAAGTTTGGAGGAGTCTCTACAGAGCATCATGAAGGAAAAGGATGAATTGGAAACAAAATACCTCAGTCAGCTCACTGCTGTACAGGAATGTGAAGAAAAAACTAAAGCAGCTGTACAAGAAAAAGAAACCAAAGTTAAAGAATGTAAACGTCTTATGAACATCCTGACTGATAAAGAAAACACAATTACCACCCTGTCCATAAAGATTGATAAACATGATGCTACTGTGGCAGATGTTAAGAACCAGTTGGTGGTGGCTACTGAAACACTGGAGAGAAAGAGATTTGAATTGGAGGAAATGAGTCAAAAATTCCAGCAAGAAGTTCAAAAGGTCAGTGAAGTTCTCAAAACTAAAGAAGATTTGGAAGATAAGCTGTCAAATTTGTCATCAAAATTACAGTCACAAGAAGCAGAAGTAGCAGAACTTAAAGAAATGGTTGAATGTTTAAATAGAACCATTAATGAAAAGAATATAACCATTCAGAATCTTGTTGGTGAAGTTTCCCATTTACAGGACCAAGTGAAGCATAAAGATAAGTCAGTAAGTGATCATATTAACATGCTTGAACAGATGGAATCTCAAATCAATGCTCGAGACCAAAAGATTGAAGAGTTTCATGCGTCATTGTTAAAGAAAGATGAACAGCTGCTCTCAACAAATGATGTAGTTGATAAACTGGAAAAAGAAGTCAGGAACATTACCCAGCAATTAGAAACGACAAAAGAATCATACGAAACTGAATTAAATATAGTATTAGATATGCTGAATGGATCAAAGAATCAAGTGGAAGCCTCTAGTATGGAAATCCAGGTCAAAGTGCAGGAAATACAGAATAACCAGATAGTTATTTCAAAATACGAGAAGGAAATCTGTGATAAAAATAGAATGTTAGACGAATTACAAGTTAATATTAAGAGTTTAGAAGAAAAAGTTTCTTACCTTGATTCATCTCTCGCTGAGAAGGAAATCTCTCTTTCCCATCTTCAGGTGGAGATGGAAGAAACATCATCATATATAGAAAACCTTGTTTCACAAAAGTCTGCATTAGAACAAAAACTGTATCAGTTACAAAATGAGAATTTGACACTGACTAAAACTAAATCCAGCTTAGAGGAGGAGATGAGTGAGGTCAGATCATTACTGCACCAAAAAGATGAAAGTATTTCTCATTTCAATTTAGAGGCTACTTCCAAGTCTAATCAGCAAAATCATGATATTGAAATTCTTAAGCAGACGGTAGTAGAGAAGGAGGAGCGAATTTGTGTATTAGAAACATCTGTTGGAAGCCTTGCAAGTGAAGTAGAGCATAAGGCTTCAGAAATAGAGAAGTGGCAAGCTGAAGCCCTAGAAAAAAGTCAATACCTGACTGAAATTACTCATGAGTTGGAGAATGTTCAGTTACAAGTTGAGAAGGCAAATTCTGTCATAAGTGACTTGAAATCCCAACTAACCCAGAATCAAGAGCTGCTTGTTTTTACTCAAGAACAATTATCTCATTCTCAACATCAGTTTATTGACAGTCAAGAGCAGTTGACACAGAAGGAGATTGAACTCAAACAAACTCTAGGTCAGTTAAGCGAGACACAGATGCTGTTGACCCAAACACAAGGGCAGTTGGACAAAACCAAAGAAGATCTTAGCATAGCCCAAAGCCACTTAGAAGAAACTCAATCTCATTGTGAAGAAGCTACCATAATGGTATCTCAACTAAAAGAGCAGATAAAGTTGAAAGAAATTAAACTTGAAACCATAGAAAAGCAAGCACTTAGCCAGCAAGAAAGTAACACTAAGGAAATGGAAACAGTCAGAATAGAGCTCCAACACTTGAAGTCAGACGTTGCCAAGCTGGAAATCGATCTACAGGCTAGTAGAGAATATGCGGAGAACTTGGAAATAGGTTCATCAAAAATACAAGAATGGGCTACTCAGCTGGAAGGTGAGTTAGAAACTGCAATTGCAAACCAGAATTCTGCACATAAGGATCTCATTGAAGCTAAAGATGAACTTGTCGTAAGAAGGAAAGAACTAGAACAACTTCAGTTAGCTTTGGAGGAAGAGCAGCAGAGAGTCGAGACTATGCAAACCGAACTTGTTCAGGCTGTGTCCTCCAAAGAGCAGCAGCAACAGAGAGCAGATTCACTCCAAGCAGAGTTGACTCAAGCACTTGCTCTTCATCAGCAAAGTGAAAGTGAAGTGACTGCCCTGTCACTTGTTCAGCAGCAAAACATTACTCGTCTAGAAAGTGAACTTTTATTTGTAACTCAAGCACGTGACCAGTTACACACAGAATTTGACAAGAATTTGTTTGAATTCCAAGATCAAACGAAAACTATTACTCTTCTTAACACAAATATTGAAGAATTGAATTCGGAAATCAAATCAAAAGATGAAGAGATTCAGTCCTTAGAAAGAACTGTTGTTGAACATAAAAATACCTTAACTGAATTACAGAATTCTTTAAGAGAAATGATGAAAGAAAAGCAGCAGCTTGAAACGCAGCTGGCAGAACTGCCTTCTGGTACCTCGGGAGACTCGCTAACAAGATTAAAAGAAGAGCTTGCAGTAGCACAAGAGCAAACTCAATTTCTGGAAGAAGAGTGTGATGGTCTGCGTGCTGATGCCAACACCTTAAAGCAACATTTGCAAGAAGCACGGCAGACAATCACACTGCTTCAGACAACACTTGCCACTCAGTCACAGAGCACGACAACCACATCATCGGGATGGGAAGATTGGGGTGAGGTGGACCTAGGAACACCAGAACCAAAGGAATTGCCAAATCTGGAAAACTCTTTGGTGAATAGCCTTCAAAAATCTTTATCTGATAAAGATGAAATGTTGATGATGATACAAGATCAACTTAAAGATGCTCTCCAGCAGGTTAACACCATTTCCGAAGAGAAAAAAGTCTTGGAACAGAGCTCTGCTCATCAAAAACAGCAATGGGAGGAAGATCGAGAAGAGTTACTTGCCATAAAGAAAAATTTAGAGGATATGGAATCCCTACAGAGTACTTTAGACCAAGAGAGGCAAAGACTGTATGCCCTAGAAAAAGACCTTGAAAAGAAGCAACAAGATATTGAGTTGTCTCAGCAGCAGATTGTCTCTACAACCTATCAACAACATGAGCAACTGCAACAATCAGATACATCGGGTTATTGGTTAAATCAGGAGTACACATTAGGAGCCTGGCCACCATGTGAACAACCATCTGAAACTTGGCCAGTGGCTGATCAAGAGGCAACAGCCACTACACAAGAAGTTTCCCTGACACAAGCTACACCAACTGCAAGTCAAGCAGCAGAAATTAGGGGAACATCTACATCACATATCCAGTGGAACCAACCAGGTGATGATCCATTCACTTTCTTACAGAAGACTGAAGAAAATAATGACAAAAATCCAGCTACTTGGTTTGACGAGTGTCCTCAACAAGAACCTGAAGTGTCTGCTAAATCTGTGCAACCTGTTGAAGAACTGGTGGCCAAGAAAGAGATGGAGGAACCATCTCAGCAGCACAAAGAGCCAGAAGAATCAGTCAATGTGGAAGAACTACAATACAGACTTTCATGGTATGAGGAACAATGGACAAATTGGACGAGCCATTACACACAGTTGCAGGCTAGCTATCAAGAGGCAGAGCAACAAATAGCTCAGCTGACGCAGCAACTACAAGCATTCCAGAGTAGTCAAGCTAGCACTGATGAGACAACACCATCAAACATTCAATTGATTTCAAATGAAAGTAAAGTTGAACAACAAGAACAAGATATTTTGGAACTACAAAGCAAGTTGTGTGAAATTGAAACGGCACATGAGCACCTTAAAGAAGAAAATGATAGTCTTCAGCAGCAGATGAATCGTATAGGTGAATTAGAAGAACAGCTTGAAAAATTGACCGGTTCTGCACCAAACACAAACCGATTGGAAGAGGCTGAAGCTGAAGTAGACCGACTCCGAGGCTTTGAAACACAAGTGTATGAATTGCAAAGCCAAGTACAAGCACTTCAGCATCAGGTTGGCAAAAAGTTATTTTTTTTTATTAATTCCTGCATATTGATCAGTTTTATTATCTGGTCATACATTAACTTTGAATGATGGTGAAAAGTTTTTGTGCCAAAGTTCCAGATTTGACAACTTTTTATAATGAGGTTGTGAAATTTGTCGTTATACCAAACTTTGCCTCTTTCTTTTCATATCTGTGGATCAAGTTATTTATTTTCAGCCATAATGTGACTTTTTTTCTCTATGCAACCCTAATCCCAAGGGGGGTTATGCAGGGGTCAACCCAACCCTGTGTTGGGAACTTCTGTTCTTATTTCTCAAGGGTTGGAGTACAGTACTTGTATTGTCGTCTTTGGGGAGGGAGGGATCGCTGTTTGAAAAACTTTGTTTCACAGGTGAAACAAAACAAACCACTGCCCTTCAGAAACAAAACAAGGTAAACAGGATTGCATCAAGCAAACGACCCTTGTTCCAACTCGCCTAACATCACCAGATGATTGCAGGTAGGTCTTGGGCCACTGCCACCCACTCTTGCGTGCCTGGTACCTTCGAAGTGTATTATCCCTACTGGGACTAGTTAATTTTAACCTTACAGCTAAGAGGTACTGTATTGGGGTCCTTTGGACAATTCATTCTACATGGGGCAGTGCTTTGTTATTGCTCGTGTTTATGCTTCACAATTATGTTATTTGCCTCCCGCATTTCATGTCCCTAGTCATTTATTTAGCTGCAACTTGAATTTGGGGTTTCCTTCCTTAACATTGGCTTGCATTTATATTTTTCCACGTGATATTTCTCCCATGAGAGCGTTGGGTTTACTCCTCGCCTAGGTGAGCTCCTTTTGAGCGGTTTCTCATCCAGGTAGTAATTGGACTAGGCAACAAGTTTCCGTGCATCTGGGAGCTCTGTTTACCTCATTAAACTATTAATTTAGACATGATGGAAATCTACATTGAATTTATTGCTAGGTTTTTCTACTTAGATTTTCAGGATATGTTTCAGTATTTTTGGATGCCACTGGGCATACCATATGCTTCTGTCACTCCACCTGTTGGATTCTGGGTTTTTCTGGTCGGTGTTTTTTAACATCTACACACACAGAAAGCAGCTTTTTGTGTTGTGGCTTTTTTGCAAGCTTGAGCCATACAGTACTGTATTTTTCAGTCTTTGGCCGTTGTCGGTGTAGAAGCAGGGGATTCTCTCTCTTATGAGTAGTAGTTAAAGGATTTGGCTCTAGCAACCTGTGCTGTTCTTTGCCAATCTTCCTGTTTTGGCTGTTGTCTGACCTCAGCTTGTTCAGCCTCCCAGTCCCAACTTCAGCTCGTTCAGCTTTGGCAGAGCCTCTGTTGCTTGCCATTGGGATGGATGTTTCTTCTTCTCCTTATCTGCAGTTGCCTAGGGCATTCTGTCACCTCCAGCCTGCTCATGTATCCCCAGAACCCATTTAGTCATTGAATGTGATTTTGTTGTTGCCTTTTTCCCTTGGTTTTTGCGTCTTCTGTTCTGATGTTCCATGTCCTCGTGCTTGAGAGGCCTTTAGGTAGGAGGCACCCTGCTAATTTTCATCTTCCCTAATCTCTGGTCTTATCTCTACTTATTTCATGGGTAAGCCCTTCCTTGTATTAGTCTGTCCTGATATATTGCTTCCTTTCAGTGAAGCCACTCTCTCTCAAAGGCACTGCTGTGAGTGAGCACAGGGAAGATAGTGAGGGACTTGCACAAAAATAGAGCATCGAGTGTAATGAAATGCCCTTTTCTATGCAGCTTTTCGATAGCTCCCTGTTCCTACCATATTGTGACTGAGTAAGATCCCAGACAACTTGCGCTACCATCTGATGGTGGTCGTGTGAGTTGGAACGAGGCACTTTTGATTACTGCCAACTATCCTTTGCCTCATTTCTTTCTTCAATTTTTTTCTAAAGGGAAACCAAGACAGGTTTGTCTTGCCTGTATCCTTCTGGGCAGTTTTCTCAGTTTTGAGTGGCTCTCTGACCCCTTCACCTTTATGGGGAAACCACGTCCTGATCCTGATTTCTGGTATGCTTATGCAAGTTTCGAAGTCGATCACGTTTCAGTAAGCTCTTTGGTACAAGAGCCTTAGCGTTTCATTACATTCACTGTTCTGTTGTTTTCATAGAAATCCTGTTTTCTCCATCAAAGATACTTTATACTGTACATTGCATGTAGCTTTCCTTTATAGTTTTGCTACATTTATAACATATATATTTTATAAATCCATATTTATTAAATTTGGAATTTGTGGAAAAATGTGTTTTGACCACATAAGTATGGCTTATTATATAATTACTGACTGTAATCTTGATGATCTCTTTCTGTGTAGTGGATCTGAAAGTAAAGTAGCTTAACACTTTGAAATTATCAAATGTCCATTGAACAGTAATTGCATAATCCTTGATTAAATGAACCATATATATTTCTTATGCTATACCTTACACAAAACTTTTACACTCGAGCACATTTGTCCTTTGATAAACATAAACGGAGACACTGGTCATCAGTGTTTATTTTTTCTTGTTTCTCTTTATTTTCTTGTTTAGGGCTTCTATCCCTCTGACTAGTGCTTTTGACTAGTCTACTAGTCTGACTAGTGCCTTTACTTTACCATCAACCATAGAAAAGTTACCATCCCCAAGATTGCAGACAAGTTGATTTTTGTCCGACATAAATTCAGGCTGAAATTTTAGTTATATTAACAAATTAAACCATATATGAATCTAGAGTGATATACTAATTCAAGCTTTAAAGTTTGTTAAGTGTGACACTAATTCCCACTTAACTGTTTTCAGTGTACAGCCATGCAGAACAAATTGGCCGATGCTGAAATAGAGCGATCTCGTTTACGTGAAGTAGAGATCCTTTATGGTGAGCTTCAGTCATGCATACAAGAATCTGAGACCAAGCGCGAGGGCTCCAAATCTCGTGTGTTGGAGTTAGAACTTATGGTTCAGTCAGCAGAATCAGAAATTTCCAGATTAAGAAATGAAATTGAAGAGCTAAATCAGGTTGGCCAGGCAGTGGAAACTGACAGAGAAAGACTACAAACTGATGCACATGGTTTAGGTACAGAGATGACAAAGCTCAGAGGTGATGTACTAAGACTGCAGAAGGAGGTCGAATTATATCAAAATGAATGTGCAAGACTGCAAAATGAAGTGGAATTATGCAGAAATGAGTGTGTCAAGCTTCAGGATGAAGGACAGTCTTACAAGACAGAAGCCCTGAGACTACACACTGAAAGTGAGAGTTTCAAGGAAGAAAGTGTGAAACGCCAAACTGAAATTTCTCGGCTTGGAGGTGAAAATCAGGAGCTAGATGATGAGGTAACAAGAATCAGGAGCGAGTTGCAAAGAATAGAACGTGAAAATAATCAGTTACGTAGTGAACTTGAAGTCATGGAAGGTGAGCATGAGAGGCTACGAGGTGACTATGATGTGCTTGAGGCAGAAAACAATAGATCCAGAGGGGAATATGAAGCACTTTCTCAAACAAATCAAATGACAGAAGCAGAGAAAGAGAGTTTAGAAAGTGAAGTACAAAGAATCACTGCCCAGAATATGACTATTAATTCTGAAAATGACCATTTTCGTGGTGAAATCCAGAGACTAACAGAGGTTGGCACTTCAGCTGATTCCGAAATCACCCGTTTAAGAGCTGAAATTGAAAGATTCAAATTGCTGGATTCTCAATATAATGATCTTGAGTTGAAATACAATGAGTTGCAAACTCAAGTTGCTACTATAGAATCACACCCGAGGAGTAAGCGTACATCAGAATCAGACCCACACTGTTTGGTTGAGGAAGTTGACTGGAGTGCTGAAGGTAAAATAGAGGATGAGCATCTTCTAAGGTCATCATCTGTTGATTTAAAGTACCAGGAGGAAATAGATTGTCTTAAAGCTAAGGTAATTTCATTAGAGAAAGAGAAGAATGGTCTATATGATGAGTTGCAAGCTTCCAAAATGAAGAGTGGTAAAATGTTGCAAAAATTTAAGTTAACTCAATCTAAGAATGAAGTTCTAAGCAAGGAGGTACAAAAATTAAAGGCCAAAGCTGGAGGCTTTTCAGATCTTGACCAAGCACTCGAGGAAGAGTGGAAGGCACAAATAGCAAGAGCAGAAACAGAGAGAGACGAGCTCAAGCAGAGACTCGATGAAGTAGAAAACGAAAAGGAACACTTTATTAATCAAGTTGATGTTCTCACTGCTGCTCAAGAGCATTATTTAGAGCTAAAGGAAGACCAAGACACGACTATCAAGCTCCTGAAAGCTCGTAATAAGGAACTTGAAGGTCAGGTACAAGCACTTGAATGGAAGATATCAGAACTGGAAGAGGTTGTAGACCAGCAAGAACTGGAGCAGAAACAGTTACAGTCCTTGCCAGTCCAAACTGTACCTGACACAAAAGAACAAGGAGAGTCTTCTGATGAAGTCAAGACTTTAAGAGAACATATTTCATCACTTCATCAAGAGATAAAAAGCTTGAAAACAGAGAATGAAAGATTGCAAGCTTTAACAGAGGAACTTGAAGAAAAGGTCGAGTCTCTTAGTAATGATAATGTATCCTTTCAATCTTTAATACATAAGCTTAAAGAGGCAAAGTCCAAAGCTGAAAGTGACATAAATAATTATAAGTCTTCATACATAGAACTTGATGCCGAACATGCTTCTGTCAAAAAGGAAAAGGAAAAGATAAATGAAGAATTAAGGGAGCTGTCATACACTCACAGCACATTGAAGGCTGCATACAACTCGATGTTTGCTGAATATAATGATCTCCGAGATGTTTGTGACGGTCATAAGCACGACGTAGGGATTTTGAAGGGAGAAAGAGATCGTCTAGTGGAAGAAGTTGATAGCCTGAAAAAGCAACTACAGGCTTTGCATGAGGAGGAGGAGGAGGAAACTATCCGTGCCTTACAGAATGAGTGCTTCAGCCTTAGAGAACAGAATAACTTGTTGCATGAAGAGGTGAGTTGAACACATTCGATTTTTCTTGGCTGCATGTGTCTTTCTAGCAAATAACTAGTACAGTAAAACTATTTAAAAACTGACAACTTTTTTAGGGCTTCACTTATTTTTCTCTACGTCTAAGCACGTTGCTTAAGTAATTTCATTTCGAACCTAATGAAGTTTTTCTTTTTTTTAATTATCATTAATTTTATCTAATAGTAAAAATTGTGTATCAGGTTTGCATAAGCTTTTACAACATCTATAAGATTTTAAACATGGTTAAGCTATAAAAGAAATAAAGGTAATAAAATAAATAAGAATGACAAAAATCTTGAATAGCTAAAAATATTGTAAGACTTCACGCATTTAACCCCTGGGCTGTGCACCTGTTAATAGCTGACAAGTGAAAACAGCTGACAAGAGAAAATAGCTGACAAGTGAGTAGTGAAAAAAATGTATTTAGTTTTTTCATTCTAACAAGTTGTATTGATGTGTCAAAGGTAGTGTTCATTATGAATAACTTATGTACAGATGTACGAGTATAAATATACACACAACATGTATTTATTCATATAAAAACAAAATTATATATATATATATATATATATATATATATATATATATATATATATATATATATATATATATATATATATATATATATATATATATATATAATATGCATACACACACAGTATAAAAAAGAAAAGCATAAATCTTATAATTGCACATAGCACACATTTTGTCTATGAATATATACATGGTAATTACTCATTTGGTGTTAAATGTTCGATGCATCCAAGTACAGTACAGAATATCTGCCCTGCACATCCCGACACTGGATGGTGATGTGCCAGACATGGTCCTCGTCTATTTACCAAGGCCCAGGAAAAAGAACGAGTGACTCAGATTTTTTTTTTTCCAAGATGGGGGATTTTTACTGGAGGCCTGAGGAAGCAAATATGAGCTCCATGTATGTGCAGGACTTTTAGATCTTATGCAGTACCCTAATATTTTATCTGATGGGATGCGCACTCTGAACATATTTATCCACCCTATCACCTGATAGGATGTACAGTCGAAAAATTAAGGAGACATTTAAAGGTAGTAAGATCAAGTTGATGGTTATTGAATATTATAACCCAAGGCTACAAGAGTTAAATGCAAACTCATGCTAATTCACACTCGTGCACCCTCTCTTGTATTGATCTTTCCCTCTGCTCGTCTTCCATTTATTTAGATCTGTCATGGAGGATCGTCAAGGAACTCTCTAACAATGACCATTTCCCCATCCTTGTCACCATCTTTTCTTTTCTCCCTCCACAATCGTTCCCTTGATTTTGATAAGGCGGATTGGAACCTTTTCACCCTCTACGCTCCACCTTTCCACCTTATCTGAATTCCTCTCCCTGAAGCCTCCTCCTTTTTCAAGACACCCTCTTTGATTCTGCCCTGTTCTCTCTTCCTCGCTATGCTTCCAATGGTGGGTGAAAGTGTGTTCCCTGGTGGAATTCGGACTGTGTTCGGGCTGTATGCTGTAAGCGTGCAGCCTGGAAAAAGACACTGGCACCAACAGACTTCTGAGACAGACTCCCCCCCCCCACCCCACCCACCCACCCACCCACAAAAAAAATTAAATGCCAAAAAAGGATTGCCATTATTTCATAACCTGTCATGCAATACTCATCTTGTTTATGATCAAGCATTTGTCCTTTATAATGTGTACCAAGAGACTAAACATGACTCAAAGTACAGGTGACCTGATTGTGTTAAGCAATAGTTTACTCAATTCTGTTGACAGCCATAATTTTAGTTATATTATAAATAAACTGTACATGTTTATTCATCTGTGTGGTAAGTGGGTACAGTTCCCATTTGTCTGGAGACCAGTGCTGAGGAGTCTGTGCACTTTCCACACAACAAAACTCTACATGTTGCCAGTGTTTCAATAATCTCTGTGGGTGTTGCATGTATAGTGTCCATTCCAGTGTCACTTTATAAAACAATAATTTAATTTTCAATTCCTACCATATCTTTTGCAATTAACCTGATACAGTTTAGCTGTTTTATAATCCAGCAACGAGATCAATAGCTTTCTGAAATGTCCCATTAACGGTGACTTTACCCAAAATGTGAGCGAGTAATTTTGTGGTTTTATTTTTTTCAGAATACTGCACTTGAGGTACAGGCTGGAGATGCTAAAGATAAGGCAGCTCGCATTAGCAATGCTTTGGACCAAAATCTAGAAATGCAACAACTCCTTCGAGATGAATTAATGAAGAAATCTGAAGAGATTAGCTTCCACACGACAACCATAGATGGCCAAGATCGAAAAATAACGTACATGAATGCAGAAATGGCAGCAATGAAGACCAAGCTAGCTCAGCAGGACCAAGCTCAGGAAAGCAGTATTGAAACTATCAATAAGTTAGAGCAGCATGTGGAGGAATTGCAGGAATATAATCAGCATCTACATCAACAGGTAAAGTGAAGAAATAACAACATTGCACATTTGGTTCCCAACATATTCACGTGTAAAGACAGTTTTGACCCCAAGCAAATCTGTCATTAACTCAACAACAATGTGATTGATTCAACAGTCAATGTATCCAAAACTTGATTATGCTTTGTAAAAGGATTAATGTATTTTAGCTATCATCATTATTATTGTCATTATTAACCCAGTTTCTCACTTATTTTTAGATTGTTTTTATTCATTGCTAGGAAAGAAAAATTTTAAAGTAAATGATAGATATAGAATAATCCCTAAACCTTCTTAATACAGTACCTTCAAATCGCAGTACAGTGGAATCTCTCGAGTACAAAAATCTTTTTATACCCAGCCAAACTCCCTCGTGTGTAATTACCTAAGTGTAATTATAGTACAGTACCTAAGTGAAGTTACAGGATGAGAGGTATGCTTGTGGTGTCCCCTCTTTCCAGTGCTCTCTCTCATGAGATGCTTTGAAACTACTGACTCTGGCTTCCACTACCACCTTCTCACTTGTTCCAACCATCTGCCGCTCTGTTTGCAAAAAAGAGAACTTTCTAACATTTTTATTTTTGGCACCTTCATTTCCTTAACTTGAATCTATTACCTCTTCTTGAAGTGGCAGGTTTCAAGAATTTCTGTTGTCAATTTTGGCGATTCCTGTTACTATTTTATATATAGTGATCATATCGCTTTTTTTTTCTTTCTTACTAGCTGTGGTATGTTCAATATTGTACCTTATAGCTCGTTTTTCAGTTCCAGAAGCGATTTCATAGCATGTCTCTTCACCTTTTCCAGTTTATTGATGTGCTTCTTGAGATATGGGCACCATACAACTGCTGCATATTACAGTTTTGGTTTCATAATTTGAGACCAAAATTGGTATATGGAGCGGTTGAATGATGCCCATATCTCAAGATATAAGCAGGAAATGGATAGAAAAGTGTAGACACAAATACTACAAAATGGCTTTTGGAACTGAAAAACAAATGCTGTGTGGAGAGATTAGAGGTGTTAAAGATGCCAAAGCTAGAAGGTAGGAGAAAAAGAGGCGATATGATAACTACATGCAATATAGTACAGTAACAGGAATCAACAAAATTAACAGAGTTCTTCAAACCAGCATCCTCAAGAACAAGAGGTCATAGATTCAAGGTTAAGAAACATTGTGCCATGTGTGTGTGTGTGTGTATATGTGCGTGTGTATAACGTGTGTGTGTGTGTGTGTGAAATAATCCATCAATCCTCATCTATTATGTTACTCCATAAAACGTTAACCCTTTTCCCAAATCAGTATTTATCAGTTATGTTTACATGCACTAGATATATCTTCATGAATTCAGGTACAGGTATTATGATGCATTATATTCCCTTGTGTCATAAAGATGTGTTTTTATAACAAAATATAATTGCAGGCGATGAGTCACAATAACGTGGCTGAAGTATGTTGACCATTCCACACACTAGAAAGTGAAGGGACGACGACATTTCGATGTCAATGATCGACTTGAGAATGGTCCAGGACGGACCGAAATGTTGTCGTCCCTTCACTTTCTACTGTGTGGTCTGGTCAACAAAATTTAATTAAGACTTCCAAAAAAATACATAAAATTGCAGCCTATGACAAGTTGTTGAATCGGTGATTTTAATGGAATGAAAGTATATGAAAGGTTATAAAGAAAAACCTATAGAAAGAAAAGTTAAATATTCTATTTAGTACCTAGTAGAGCAAAGTGTATACAGTATACAGTACATTTGGCATGTATAACAAACTAAAATTTGTTTAATAAGCTGTTTAAGTAAATTATTACTAATTGTTGTACAAATGTTTAAGCTTGAGGCAGCAGAAGAATCCCTAGGCAAGCTTACAGGTGCAAGTAAGGATGATGGCAGCGAAGATGCTGTGTTTACACCATCACCACCACCTGGTAGCGAGCTGGAAGCTGCCTTAGCATCATTACACTTGAGAGATCTTCGATGTCAGCAGCTTTCACTTGAAATCACAAAGGTATATTTTGTTACAAGGTTGTCCTCAGAATTTCAGTCTGCATATTACTAAATTATTCTGCCTTTATATATTTTCATTTTTTATGTACATGCAGTACTCAGGTTAAAAATAATATTAGCAAAATGTTTCAGCAAATGTAAACTTCTCATTTAACCCCTAAACTGTTCAGCTATTTAAAGTATTACTTTACATTGAGATGTGCCTAACTAAAATTGGTGAAATGAAATGGTGAAAAATTGCATGTAGTGACTGGAGAAAGCAGAGGAAATTGCATGGTAGCTGGCATAGTAAATGGTTAAGGGAAGTGGAAAAAATGTAGGCAATTGGCAGGTTGTTTTCAACCGCCCATAACATTTTTGCCGATTGGGAAATATAGAATGACCTGGATTCAAGCCCTGGGAAGAGAGGAACGATTGGGCATTGCATCTTAATTTTCACTTAAAAGTAAATTGGTACCTGGCTGCAAATCAATTAATGGATCATGGTCCAGGGAAAAATTAGTAATATTTATGATAATATGAGCCAATGCAGCATTCAATTTTAACTGAGTGTAACTCTTCTCTCAGAGTTAAAACTAGGCATATGATCATCTTTGAACAAAGTCCATCAACTTCCCTATACCAAAAACCCTTTCCTTTAACTAAAGATTTTCTGAAAAGTAAGTGTTTGAGCTTTGGTGTACGTTCTTTGGATAATTAGTGTACGTTTCATGATGTATCATAGGAACCAATCTAATTTAAAAAATCTTGCTGGTAAATCAAAGCAGCTTGAATTGGATGCCCCTTTCCAATTGACCTTGAATTTATCTATTAGCCAGTTCTTTCCCCCTCACCAAAGATTCTGGTCCACCGCAAGCTGTTCAAGCAAGATCCAATAGTATAGTATATTGTTTGATTAAGAAAAAGGTTTGTGAAATGATGTATTATTCTTTTGTGTTTTTTATTGTTATTGATTATATGACTACATGATTGTCTTTGGCCTGTTAGTTCTTTTATCACATTTATTAGATAAGGAGAATTAGCTAAATAATGATGAGATAGGAAAAAGGAATGTAATACATAGCACTGGTGTGTCGGCTGACATTGTGTCACTGAATTTAACCTAGCCATTCCTAACCAAAGTGAATAGGGTTCATTGGCCAGTGGAAAAAATTGCACGTTTGGTATACTACCTGGTTGAAAGATCAAGTTTATATGTTGACCATATTCTAATTCACAACATATATTTTCATGGTTTATTGCCAAATAAATGCCTGCAGATTTTATTAACTTTGTTGCATTACATAAAATTAATGTGTATTGTCTTGCTTATTAGTGTTCTAAATGTTTGCCTTGATTTCACAGCTTCTTGAAGAGAGAGATGCTCTGCAGCTCAAACTAAGTGCTTCCTTGAGACAGACGCAAGAACTCAGCCGAGAGTTGAGTCTGAGCCATCAGTTACCTGCTTCCGTCTCGCCAGAACCATCATTAGACCAGAAGTTAGTGTTGCTAAATTTGATTTTATGCAACTAATAAATGATTCCTCGTTATTGAGAATAAATTGGGTAGAATATATTTGAGAAAGTATTGTTAATTTGAGTAAGGAATCACATTTTATGTAGAATGGAGTCATGAGGTGAGATGAAATTAACATTAAGACAATGGGATTGAAACTCATCACAGTGGGTGATACATATTCCTCTTGGTCAGTCAGGTAGGCACCTAGAGTCTAGCTAAGAAACGAGTTCCAGGAATTCGGTCCTTTTAGAACTTATTCCTGCCGACCTTTGTGTATGGCTATACATGTACCTTGTTGGGTATAAAAGAGTCTGTAATTATCTATCACTTTGGTAATTATAGACTCTTTGGTACCCAACAAGGTATGTATAGCCATACACAGAAGTTAGCAAGTGTAAGGTCTAAAAAAAACAAATTCCTGGAATTTGTTCCTTTTTTTTAACTATATGAGAAATGTGGGTTAAGATGTTATTTTTAAATACAATATTTGTCTTTCCAATTTGATATAGGAATAAATTGTGCACCTAAAAGTTATTTTAAATCAGTATCCGTTGTATACAATCTCGGCAGAAAAATGCCATCTGGCATACTATGGCAACCTATATGATTTGGGCTCAGTGACAGCCATTTTGAAATGCTGGTCTTCTTCAAGGGAAACTGAAGTACTGTATTGAACTTTACTATATTTTCCTAATTTGTTGCATTAATTTTGTATTAATAATCTTTAATTTACTAAAGTTAAGTATTAATGATTTCTGGTGTCTTCAATTGCATATTTTACTTGTATCTAATATGAGGGCCAAGTCAGTCGTATTTCCTTTCTTGTGAAAGAATTGTGATCGAGAACGTCGGTTCTTTTTGAGGAGCAGGTGCCCACCATACAGTATACTGTACGGTATGGTATTTAAATAGGATAGTTATATCCATGTGTAGTACTGCAACCAGATAAAGCTGATAATTAATAAAACAATAAAGTGAGAGGGATTATAAGATGATGGTTTTGAAAGTGTGAAACAATGCTAAACTACCAAAATATTAAGGTATGTCAAAAAAGAAAAAAACCATCACAGGTGCCTACCAAGAGAGTGCTTTTTATCAGTTGCCCTGCCTGGCTACCAACATAGACCACATCTAGGTTGTAGCACCATGCAATACTCTTGGCTTCCTGATTCAAGTTGCCTAACATTCTTACCGATTTCCGTGTTCTGGGATGCTCCTAGAGGCAGGTTCGAATCCTCGTCACGGCCCTTGTGGATTTGTTCATTCTTACCAATTGTATCCCTGCCTTGCATTGGTACTTGCCTAGTTCTCACCTATTTACATTTTCAGGAGTTGAGCTACTGCTTCTGAGGTCTCGCCTTTCAATCAAAAAATCAAAATGGTATATAGGTTCCACAGCATTTTGGGCTTTACCATATCTACATTTAAAGCTGTGTATTGAGTTTGCCTTTATCACCTCGCTTCTTAACACATTCCATATTGTTCACTATCCTGACATTGAAAAAAGTAACTGGTAATGTCTCTGTGGCTCATTTGGTTACTTAGTTTCCATCTATGTCCACTTGTTAATGTGCTACCCCTACTTACCAATGTGATGCCTTCTTTGTTGTGGGACCTGGAAAATTTTTATCAGTATCGTTTTGTCCCATTCCTGTGATGTGTGTGTGTGTCTCCTGTAGGCCCTGGCACAGCACACAGATTATCCCAGTCCCGCTACAGGGATGTTGTCATGAAATAGTTTTGCAGTAGTCTGTAACTGATAGTTTTAATGGAGTGGAGTGGAAGGTGTTCATTTACTGGCATCATGAACACCTGCTTTGTCCTTCTGTATACAGTATGATTTATCAGTTGTCTTTATAAGACTTGCGCTCCTAGTCAAATTCCCAAGCTTTGGCGAGTGTAACATTGTACTAGCACACTATATTTTTGTTACTGTGTTGATAAAATGGCTGAAATTTGTATGATCATTATAAGCTACTGTGTGTATATTATAGCCAACATTGTTTTTCTATTCATACGTTGACGTACAGTACTTTAATATCCAGTGTTGAAATATTCCCAGGTTATATCTAAATGTTTCAATTCAGAGGTGCAAAATTACATACTTATACAGTACATAGATATCATAGTGCAAACAACAGTTATGATGATGGGCATGCATCATGCAGTATGCAACAGTATGCAGAACATACATAAAATGTTCAGCTCTGTCAAACAATGTCTATTTGGCTCGAATTAAGATTTTTGTTGCCCTCTGTCCCCTTGTGTCACCACTTATAGGATGTGTATGGGGTACACAGTCACAAGTGATCACTGGCGACTAGTCACCCAACAGACTGCTCGTATAATGTGCTGCCAGTTACTAGTGGTCTCCTTGTTCAGGATGCTTGACGTTCATATCAGCCATGGCCACCATGGTGGGTGAATTCAGATGCCTAATTGTGCTTGCAGGAGTTCAACTTAAGCTCTTTGGTCCCGCATCTCAAAGAGTGCACAGGTTCCTGAGACTATTAGACTTATCAAATCTACATTGGAAACTGTGTATGGAGTCTGCCTCATCCACCTTACTTATTACTGCATTCCATCTGTTCACTACTGACACTCTTTACAGAAATTAAGATTGATAAGTACTGTAAAAAAAAATCTGTTGTGCATAATATATAAAGAATTTGCATGTTTAGTAAACAGGATGTTTTGTTCGGACTCTTGCATGACAAATACAAATTATCATATCATTTGTAGTTTTTATTTGCAGCATTTAAATTTTTTTTTAAATAGAGCTAACTTTTGGCAGACAAAATTTGTTGACATTTTCCTTTGTGTGCATGTGTAAATAAATACTTGATTTTCTTATTCATGTCATCTCTCAGATTAGCTGAACTTCGAGAATTGAATGATTCTTTGGAGCAGAAAGCCCTGTCAAGTTTCCAGAGTGCTGTCTCGACTAACATTGGCCGGAGAATAACCATCGGTGGTCTACCTCCTCCGCCCATGTTCACCCCTCACACAGCTCCTCCAACCCCCACAGCTACGAGACATGCCGATTACACACTCAGTAAGCTCTCTGACTCTATATTAATTTTTTCCCTTGGACATGATTGTAAACATGTGTGTTTATATCCTTTTGAGAGTATTGTATTGCCATTCATACTGATGCTAAAATCATTTTTTTTTTATACTAGCTGGGGTACCCAAATATTCTAAGATTGCTCTAATGTGTATATATTCTCAAGTTTCTTTAGTGACTAGAGCTACCTTGGAACATATATACTTTAGAAAGAGTACCAGGAGGAGGGGGGGAAGAAATGCCTTATGAGCTACATAGACAACCATTAACTTACATTACTCCAAAAAAGAAAAATCCTACAGACTTTAACAGGAAAAAATAATATAATCTAGAGTTGAAAAGGCAAGCGTGTGCTCGAGAACTTTTTCTGTGTGACGTTGGGTTTTGGCTACCTGTTTGAATGCTTGTAGAATTCTGTTTGCATATTCATTCTTAAGTCATTCTAGAAAACTTGACCTGTAATAATAAACGTATATTTTCTCTCACAGCTCGAGAGGCTCAGGGCACTTCCACTACACTCATAGATTGGATAATGGGCAAGAGGTAAGTTTTAATTGTTTGCCTGTTTTTTATATATATAATTTTTTTTTTTTTTTAAGTGTTAGAAAAAGTGAAACTCTGTTTAGTGTTTTATATATTTAAATTTTATATATTTTATATTTATTTATATATTTATTCATATATTTAAGTGTTAGAATAAGTGAAACTCTGTTCAGTGTTTTCAGGTTACGGTTGTGTATGTAAACTATAGTCTCTGAAAATGTAATAAGTTATTACGAAATGTGTTCAAGGGTCGCGTCAGACTAGAAATAAAAATTAATTTTGGAGAAAAAAATATATATATATACGTATATATAATATTTCTTGTATTAAGATGCAAGGGGAAAGTAAGGCAAGGCAATTAATTAATTATATGGAGAAGCACTAAACCAGTATCAATCAATGTGGTTCAATCCTCTTCTTGATTTAAGGAGATCAAGAAAGATAGGATTGAACCCAGGATAGCAGCCTCATTAGACGTTGAGATGTAAGTCTCATCCTAATCACACACACACAGACCTTGACAAAGCACCCAGGAGAGTGTGAAAGACTTGGTGGAAATTCCTTACATAAATTTCACAAATATACAAGTGTGGGTTTTTATCCTATATTGTACTATTTTATTGAACTATTTTAAATGTAGATATACAAAAAGCCTATTTTTATCAATTTTTAAGATAAGATTTGAGAATTTGAAACAAATATCTATTCTGCACCCTAGGAAAACAAAGGCAGAGGTACTTAAGAGGGTTACAAGGAAATACAGTAATACTGTATTTTAGTATCGTAACAAGCTGAGCCACTAACAGCTGTTACTGGTATTCCATCTGTTATATGTAGATTGTGGTGCTTCAGAGTAGGATTATGGTATTTTGAGAATAGCATTATGGTGTTTGGGATAAGGATTGTGGTGTTTGAGAGATGATAATAGGATGTGAAGGATAAAAATTGGGGAACTTGCTATTAAATGAGATAACAAGTTTTAAATAATAGACTTGGAGGGCAGTGTTAGAAAGAAATCGAGCATTGAATGTAACGAAACGCCGTTTCTGGGCACTTTCGGTAGCTCCATGGTGCTGCAGAAACATCCGCAGTGCTCCAGGGCCTCTGAATTTTCATAGGCCTACTGAACACCAGTGCCAGAATCTGGTGTTCTTCATAAAAGCAAGGGGAGCATGGGGATCTAAGATTGACCTAAAACTGCATTACACCACCCAAAAAGTACAGTACAGTGTACAGTGTTTTGCAAAGCAAAACAAACTTCATATCTTGATTAAAGTGAGAAAAGACTGAAACAAGGCAAGCAGTAGTTTGACAAGGTCAGAAATCCATGTGCTAGTACCCAAACACACCACCAGATGGTGGGTCAGATCACCTGAGGGTCACACTAGCACACACCTTCATTCAAGTGCCACTACCAAAGATGCAGCCAATCTCCATGAGACAGGACACACTGTAGTAGGGAAGGTACCAAGGCCAACCAAAAATTAATACTTTGTTATTTTCAGTGCTTAATTTCTGTATTGCCCCCTCCCCCCCCCCCCCCCCCCCCACCCCCCCCCAAGCTCCCAGTGCATACACCCATCATTGTCTCGGAGAGGAAATTGGCCTTCCTGAGAGAAGTGGACAAGACAAGTAACAAAGATGAAGGGGACTGATTTGTGGTGAAAGATGATGTGTAGTTGTGCATCACTTCAATTGTATTTTCTGAGTGATTTTACTTAGTTTTGGGTTTACCTTGGTTCCCATATTTCCTCACTTCTACTGGAACACCAGATTCTGGTCCTGGTGTTTGATTGGCCAAGACAGTTCCAGAGGCCTTTGTAGCATTGTGGGTGTCTCTGAAATCAATGTATTGGAGAGCTACTGAGGGGGGCCAGCCCTGGAATGAGAGTATGAACAGTGAAATAAAGAGTGGGAGAGATGGGTACTGTAGTGTAATGAAAGGAAGGAATGTTAATATGGGGGGTTATGTACTAGAGAATTGTACTGTTCCCAGCTTTGCCATATAGAAGTGAAACTTAGGTATTGAAAAGCACAGTAGTTCTCTAAGATGTGAAGAAGCATTTAACAAATATGGTAAAGAGTGAAAGGGGGTGAGGAGGATATGAAATGTAGAGTGGTTGAAGAGCACAAAGCATAAAGGTGGTATAGACATGTTAGTAAGATGCCAGAGGGTTATTTAATAAGAAGGCTGAAGTATGTGCAACATGTGACAGAGGCAGACAATAAGGTTCTTGGAAGGAAAAAGTGGAACAATATATTATATAATGGGAGGAGTGGGAGGGGGCTGCAGAGCTTGAAAGAAATGTTTGTTATAGGGCATTTTGGAGAAACTTCTGCTTTGGTAGCTCTCGAGAGGTGTTTTTAGTAATAGTTTTGAAGTATTTATACATAAGAGTATTACTGTATTTGTTTTTATGGAAGCTTATTAATACAGTACTGTATATTTATTAACAAAACACCAAGTGTTTTTATCACATAGTTCACAAATTTGATTTAGTGTTACTTATCACAAATAGTATTTCCTAAGAATGGTGTAAATAGTGTTACAGTAATGTTAATTTTGTGTATATCAGAGTTGCTGGTGTGTGTCTAACGATGGTTCTCTTATTTATACAGTACGCCTCGAGTGTTGCACGTGTGACCGAAGACCTCTGCAGCTTCCTACACAGTGCACTTACTCCTTTTCTGTAAGTCACTTCGAATAAGTTTTTGTTGTTGAAGAGTTAGCCACAAGAAGTGGCACGTGCATGAATAGCTCGTAGGTGGTAGATTTTTGGAGCGAATTTGATCTTTGGTCGTGTAACATCTTGAAGTGTCACTGGGTTTCTGGTTTTAAATAAGTAAATGGTGCTTTAGTCATTTTAGTCCATTTATCACCATTTAGTCCTTTATCGAATCCTCTGCAGCTTCTCTGCTTCCTCTGCAAAAGTATGTAAGAAACCGTATGTCAACCCACTTGTTTTTTATTGGTCATATAAAGATCTTCACTTTACAGTATCTTTATGTTTGCTTTGATTAGTGCTTTGATTTCATCATATGGTAGGAGAGCAGGAACCAAAGGATGTCCAACTCCAAATGATTTTGTTGCCTCTCATGACTGCTGGGGAGACACCATTGAGATTATTGGAATTATATAGGCAACATCAGCATTCAAACAATGATACAAAATGTTAATTGACATGTGATGATCACATTGCACTTGATCATTGTACAATAATGACAGCACTGATGGTTAAGAATGCTGTATGGGTCTACATAATGTTGGTGTTTTTGTCACTTTACTACAACGAGGTGATCTTGTTTGAAAATTCACCATCTTGCTTAGTCTTTGACTTGATGCATTTCTTATTATTTGTCACTACCAAATTATTTCAGTGGTCATTTGCCTGTAAATTAAAAAACTTGTGTAGATGACTTCTATAAGAATAAATATTAAATGTTTTTAATTTTATTAATATTTTTTTACAATTGATATGTGCTGCTGCTTTCAGGATTTTTATGTAATTACAGTACTTCAATATAGTTTCAGCCAAACTGCAATTGATTCTTGCGTTAAAATGACCTTTTGAAGACAAATTCTCAGTTGAGTGCCGTATATGGACACATATGCACAAAACAATTGCCTTTGTACATGAATAATGCAGTCTGCAGGCGATGAGTCACAATAACGTGGCTAAAATATGTTGACCAGACCACACACTAGAAGGTGAAGGGACGACGACGTTTCGGTCCGTCCTGGACCCTTCTCGAGTCCAATCTCGATAATACAGTCTATTTTCTTATTTTCAGGATCTATATATGATAGCACAGACTGGTGCCAAGTGAGAGAGGGTGGAAGACTGACCTTACAGCTCTACGTTATTTTTGTAGAATTTTTACTTATTATATTAAAGTGTTCTTCACAGTACAGAAAACTGCTAGTTTGAGATGAATTTAGGCATGATTTTCCTACAGGGCAGATCTTCAAACTGTGTTCGGTATGATCATGCTAAAACACTTTTATCAGGAGATATATATATATATATGATATGATATTTCTTAAAGAACCAGTATGTTACAGTATTGTAAAGTGGTGCACATCCTCTAGTGTTTGACATTGCATATATTTTCTATAACATTTATTTATATATGGACGCATTGAATTGTACCCATTAGACAATAATATCTGACAAGTTAATTTTGAGCAATTTAGGAAAAAAAAAAACACCAGTTTGATACAGTTCCGTTACAAACAAATGTTCCGATAAACATATGCACCCAAATGCCACCATAGTAAATATATAGGTTGGCAAAGCATACAACTTACATGGTCTGCATTGTTAGTTCACTTCATAAACAATGAATTGGGTAAACTTTGCAACACGGCCAGCTACAAAGTGCAGGTATCATCCCATTAATAGTTTACAAGCAATAACTGTGTGGCCTGAATATATACTACTAGTACAGTGGCCTCCTCCGTTAACGAATTTAATCCGTTCTAAGAGACGGTTCGTACACTGAAAATTTGAAAACTGAAAGGAATTTTCCCATAGGACATAATGCAAAGTTGAATTAATCCGTTCCACACACCCAAAAATATTAACTTAAAAATGAATTTTATACAGAATACTATTCATAAGTACCTTACCTTTATTGAGGACTCTTGTTGGCATTAGTGTTTGGAAGGGAAGTCCCTTTCATTATAACGTCAGGCAGTGATGACATTTCTGGGGTACTCTCTCTCTCCTACATTTTGCAGGTATACGACTAGGACCTGGTTGTGGCTCACTGCTTGCTTGTTTTATTAAGAATCTATCTAAAGACACTTGTTTTTTCCTGTTTCAACACTTGTCTGTAGTGAGACATCACATTCATTCACTATGATGATCTCTTGTTTTTCTTCTATCGTCATCCTCACAACTATTTTCTTAGGTTGAACTTTACCACTGGCTTTCTTTGGGTCCCATGGCTTGATATATAATAAGAACTTTTATGTTCAGAAAACAATGAAATTCTTCACAAAGAATTCAAGCGAAGATGTCACTAGGCAGGATACACTGGTAAACTCTTCCCGCACCAGCAGAACCACGCGATCGTCGACCCATACATGTACTGTACGTATCAACAAACTCGCTAACCGAGGCAAATCTCGAATACCGAGGCAAATTTTATGAGGAAATTGACCTGATATACCAAAAAATTTATAAATAGGGGCATTCATCAACCAAGGTCCCACTGTATTTGCAGTCCTTGTTAATTTCATCAGGTCTTGGCTAATTGCAGTTTTCCCACTTATTCACTCGGTGAATATAGGTTGCCTCTGAACACTCCAAATATATATAAAGGAACAGTGTACTATGCTGACATCATATATTTTATATTTTTTCCACATAATTATGTTCTCTTGAGTCAAGTGTCCCTCGATGACTCTGACTCCTCTGACATCACTCGTCTTGTCTCTCGATGAACCTGTCTTATTACTCATCTTGTGTGTGCTCTCCTATTGACATTGTGAATGATTCCTAGGAACTCATTCCTAGGTACTCGTGAGTATTCTGCCACACAGATGGTGCTGTATAGCTTTTCAGGCTTAGCAATTTCTTCTGATAACTACTTGCACATGATTATTTGTGATAAATTGAGTCAGTACTGTAAGTATTTCGGACACTCGACTTTCAAACACTACTATGGATACTGCTAATTTTGTGTAGTCTCCATTGTAGCATTAACAGCTTCGATATTTTCATTCCTAGATGCTTGTCATCGTAATTCCAGCATTTTATTTTTTATATGGTACAAGACTTAAAATTTGTATCCTATAATTTTTAATCACTTCATTTAGACCAATGAAAATGTTTTTCTAATTGCTTCTTCATGCATTAGCACATTGTGGTATGGCTTCTTGTTCATAGACGTATTCACCTTTATACGAGCATTTTGTTCAATAGTGAACATGTATGTACATGGTAAAATTCACATATACTTTAGTAGAAGATTGTAAATGTGTCTGGTATTACAATATTTTAATTAATTAATATTTTAATAATGAAATGGCTATATTAAAGACACATTTCAGTTTGTTGCACATCTTTTTCACATTCACTCCAAAAAATCTACCACTTATGGGCTATTCATGCCTGTGCCACCACTTTGGTGGCTTAATCTTCTTCAATCAATCGATCATCTTTATTTTGTAGAGCTGTAGGGTGGGTGCACATTCTCCAGTCTCATACCATCAGGTACTTTACTGTATGCCTGTTGTTGGTTCTGGGGATCAGTGTCCTCACAGCCAGGTCTCTGACCACACCTCCTGGTTGGTGGTCTGCTCAACTACGCTGTTGGACACCTTAGAATGTATTGTGATTGTAAATGTAAATTAGTAAATACTTTGGTCTATCAAAACAAATAAACCTTTGTGAAAATATGCAGTTGAATCATAACCAAGTTGCCTTAATTCTTTTAAATAATGAAATGCTCTCCCTTATTTTTTTTAAGTATAGATAAAATATAAATGGGTGCAAAATGAGGACTTGAGTAAAAATCAAACAAAACCAAAGTGTTTAAATCATAAAAAGAAAATAGATGATTAATAATATTGAATGTTGAGGTGAGGGCAGTTGGGATAAATAGTTCCCTAAATATTATGTTGGAAAACATATTGCAAAACATCCAGTTTATATGAAAGCTGTGAGTGTCATCCCAAGCGTATGTAAGTTTATAGGTAAACTATAGGTTAGAAAATTGTATAAATGAGGTTTGCTGCACAAGGTAAAAGTTTACATGAAAATTGCACTTTAGGCAGTTTACCTGTTAAAGCATACTCATGCGCATATTACAAAAGAACTTACAATTTCCATGTATGGCTTAGTATCTCGTTACAGTCCGTATAGGTTTTCTTATGTTTTTGGCCCTTACATCTGTAAGATGATCTTCTTCAGGGGTGAGAATTCCCTGTTGATCCATGTGTGTATTACTACTCCAGAGAGACTGCCCATGAAATTCATGTGAATATTAGAAAAATTGGATACATTTTTGGAAACAAAATTGACTAAAATGGGCTTTATTAAGGTGTATCTTGGGAAATATCCATTTTTAAATTTTCTGGGAAAAGGATTCCCAGGCAGTTCTCATCCCTGTTTTCTATTTGAAGTAACGTAGTTTCTTTTTAATGTACCACAAGCTTCATCCAAACTCTTGGTTTACAACTAGGATTATTTTGTGATATCCAGTTGTCTTTATGTAATACCTGTTTATGGATGATGAAAGCTTTTGGAATATTATCATAGAAACGGAAGTGAAATGCATATCTACATTTGGGGTAATTGATTTCCAAGTTTACCTTTGATTTGAATATGCATTTTAAAACATGTCTCGACATAGTAAATATTTTATTGATAGCACTGTCCGTTTTATGTACAGAATAAATGCGTTATATTGTTAGGGATGTGCTGTTTATACAGAGATTGTACAGTAAATGGGTATAAAATATTTGTATTGTGAAATATTTAATAAAAACTGCATTATGAAAGTTTTATTGTGGCTTTAATGTCAGGGAATACTGTATAGTATTAATACCCCTCTTGCTATCCTCTTATACAATTATGGCCTATGAAAGTAAGATAAGTCATTTCCTTAGTAACGGTCAACTAGGATTACTGGCTTACTAAACTTGTGCCTAAACCCAGTATGTTCTACCTGTTGGCAACAATAAAGTTCACCTAGTAGTAGCTACCCGGAAGTTGGGAAAATTTTTGTTGGTTGCAGTCTGGGGAAAGACAGGTTCTCATTTAAGTTCTTTAAAAAGTGCAGTAGTCATACTTTCCAGTTTTTAGTGCCATATTACTGCATTAGTCTTATCTTTAAAACAAATATACAGTACCTGTATATCTGCATTGCTAAACTTGTCCCCACTGTACATCTTTTTTTTTTTTTTTTTCTCTCTCTCTCCATGCAAGAGACCCAACAGAGGACAGAAGTATGTGGCTCATGAAGAGACTAGAGCAAGAGCACTCCATCCTTTAGGGCAAGCTCTACCATTAATAGTCATGGCCAGTCATCTACTGTAACGATTTTACTAATTATGCTACGATGGCTCATTTAATCCAAGCAAATTTGTCACTCGTTTATTCATCGAAACACGGTGCTATATGATCTGTTCAAGTAACACTTTATTTGCACAATGGAACGATCACATAACAATTTTCTAAAATATTTTGGTCTTAGAACTAAAATATTTTAGGATTTTATTTATAAAATATTTTGGTCTTTGGTCCTATACACATACATATACACAGTAATCTAGTCCAAAAATTTTGTAATTTTAAACTATGATGTTTATAAGCACCCCAAGACCATTGCACACTTCTGTGGGATGAAGTTTGCAGAGGCTAAATAATTGTCAATTTGTCAATGTTTCATGGCTCATAAAACAATGTTGGGCTGCTTATTGCCTGTTAACTTAGTCACCCAAACTAAGCAGTGTTCCAGCCATGCTTTATAGGCTTGAATATATGGAAATGCACCAATCTGAAACCCGCCCTAGTCTACCTAGAACCAGACTGTTTCACTAGGAGGGTAGAGGAGCTTAGGAATCAAACATCAATTCAAAAATAAGAAATCCAACAAATCATGTGCGTCAAAACTAGAAACTGCTCGAAGACATTTGGGTACACGAGGTAATGAAACAAATGATCGTTGCCAGGGTGTAAACACACGTGCCTGAATGACTCTAGGCAACTGGACCTAAACAGGCTGCTTGAAGGGGCAGGCAAATGGCTACTGTAGTTTAACCCCCAAAATTAAGGCAATGAGGTTAGCAAGGAGACCAAGATAGTAGAGTTTATTGGAGAGGCTGTTACTGGAGTAAAAAAGTTAAGGACCTAGGAGTGGATGGAACACAAGAAGCACACATTAACAGAATAACAGCTGGATCTGCAAGACTAGCAAACACAGATGAAGCTCAACTCCCTGACTAAGGAACCCCTCAGAATAATGTGCATAACATATTTTAGACAAGCCCTAGAATATGCAACTCCAGCATTGAACCCACATCTGGTAAATCGCAAAAATCAAATTGAGAAGGTTGAGAAATTTTTCTAAAGAATGTTTAAGCGACGTCTGAATGGAACATACATTGGTGTTCGGGTACTCACGTAGTTGTGCTTGCGGGGGTTGAACTCTGGCTCTTTTGGCCTGCTTCTCGACTGTCGATCAACTTTTTTTTTTTTTTCCCACACATCCCCCTCCAGGAAGCAGCCTGTAGCTGCTGTCTAC